GAAAGCATAAACAGCGCTTTCCCAAGTACCATAATGCAGTAATGGTTTCGAACCATTATCAAATGTGTTCTCCCAATACATTTCAATGGAATTAATATCACCTACATTAAAATAAAAATATTAGTTATTTATCATTTATAAAGCAAGACATTGAAAGATTTCTTAACTGGATACCTATTTAGGTAGCAATTTGAACCAGTTAAAAGAACTATATATATTGCGTATGATACATGAAAACTTAAAGCTGTCGTTTTATGAGGAGATCCATTTAATAGAATTTTCGCTGTAATTTGTTTCTTTAATATAACTGTTATAAATTTTCTAAATTATTCTCGTAAGTCAAATTTATTAGTATTAATATTTAAAAATGAGGTTATTAATATCTCCATTAAAACAAATGTTTAATTTCTGGGTTGTTACCAACCCAGAAATTGGTTGTAATTTCTGGTTACAACCCAGAAATTAAACATTTGTTTTAATGGAGACTCCTAAAATTTGTGAGCTTATTAAGATTCTGCATTTTCTACCAATAATGCATCCCGTCAAGTCTAATATGCTAAACTTTTTATCTACAATTGCAAGGAATGTGTAATTAAAACGGATTTCTTACATAATTAAAAAGGATTAGAACCTCCTTCCACTTTACCTAAATCTATACGAATTGGCCAGCTTTTTTATGAGAGAACGATTTTGAGCAGACGATTTGTAACACGTAAAGCTCTGTTAATATTTCTCTTACCATTCTAAAGCGGACATTTAGATAGTTTAGCAAGACTGTTTGTTTTTTTATTTATAAAATATAAAATGTAAAAGTAAGTAAACTAAAAAAAATGTAAACACAAACTTAAAGAAATAGTTTTCTAGAAACAAATGAATAGTCCATTTTGATAATAGACAAAAAGAGTCCATCGACTTTGAAAAATTGTTCAACAGTAGAAAATATTATGGTTTATATTTTTTTAACTAATAACGATATACAAACAAGCCAAAAAATATTTAAATCTGACACAGGCGATGTCACCAGATTCACCATATTATTAATATGATTACTGAGCATCACTACAACTGATGCGTATTTTGGGAGTTGCTGTATCCCTAAAAATTACTCAAAAATTCCATTCATCACAAACTTGTCAATTAGCTTGCACATAATTTATTTCAAAAAACATGTGTTTAGACGAATAAATGTAATGAAATGGATATTTTTGTTTGGAAATCAAATATGACGGAAACCTATCACTTCCAGTCCATTAATTATATGCGGAATAATAAAAGCAACATAAGGACGATAAGGCGTCTCTCTTTAGTAGAAAATAGCTAAGGTTTTTGACAAATTATTTGACAGCTTAGCATAGCCTGCGTTTTATCCTTTAGAAAATGTGTGTGGTCGGGGAAACAAAATGTTGACTCTACTTTGAGATAGATGAGACCTCTAGTCGCATTGTTTGTGTTTTGATCTCGACTAGTAGGAGTTTATTGGTCCGGAAGTTCATATTTCCGTCTGATGTGAAGATACCCTTAACAATTAAGACTTTAGTCTTCATTTGAAAAGCGAAATGTCTTTTCTTCAGTAAGAGTAGGATATCAGTATAAAAAATCAAGCATAGCCAAAGAACTCTGTTCCACTGGAAGCCATTACCAAGTATACATGTTTATATTTTATGCTACTGAAATCAACAAGTATTTCTAACTTGTTTTCAGCTTCATATTGATTAAATATTAAAAAATATTTGTTGTTGAGATGCATTATTGAATACTTGTATTAAAAAATACTTTACGATTATATAAGTAATTCAACGTTCATATCTAAAATTTAGTAAATCGTTTAGGTGGATATCAAATCTTAATAGAATTATATATGTATTTTTATATTATTACTGTTTTAATAATATAATTGGCTATATTTTTTAGCCGCGCATTTGAAAATTAAAATTGAAATATTTAAATTCTACAAATAATAATTTTATAAATGTTTGTTTACTTACCTCCAAAATTTTGTTCAACGTAAACAACTCCCATTTCTGCCGGTATCGTATCAAATCCACATGCCGACACTACATAAGTACCTTTTTCTTGTGCAAGGTCATGGTAAACTTCAAACATTTTATCAATAAATAGTTGTTCACCACTAAGATCAATATGGTGGGTACCATTCTCGATACATGCTTTTACGACAACTTCACCATAGAAACGATAGGGGCCACAACAATTAATTATTAACTGTATTTTAAAAAAGTTTTTCATTTCATAACAAATTAGAAATATAGCATTAACACACTTACTTTGCACTTTTTTGCCATTAAGTCTAAAGATTTTTGATCACTAATATCAGCTATAACCACTGGTATATCATTTAAATCCTGTTTAAGTTTACTACCAATATCTGAGAGTACTTTTTTTATTTTTGACTAAAATTGACAAAATATTTTAATTATTATTTGTTTAATTATATGTAACTTTGTCAGTTAAACTTTTATATATTTTATAATAATAATTTTTATAACCTATTTATTATTCAAGTTTACCTCATTTCTTCCCGCCACACCCCATTGAAGGTCTTTTAATAAATCTACTGCATACTCAACAACTAATTCTCCAGTAAAACCGGTTGCACCAAAAATAATTGCATCCAATTTTTCCGACATGTTCAATCAATTTAATCAGCAATAACCAAACAACTTTGGGTTAAAATTCATACTAAATATTCTATTTTGTAACTCACCTCAATGAAACTATCGTAGATAAATACAGCACTTATAGATGATCAATGTGCAAAAGTGTGTGCTACATTAGAAAAGCAGGTAATTTAATTAATGTCCTATATCGACATAATATACAGCACAATGTTTTCATTAAGTTTTTTGTTTTATATAAATTTTAGTTAATTATTAAGTAACGAAATTATTTCCTCATATATGTAGGTGTTTGTTAATCAATGATAACTACAAATGCATGTATGTTACATCCATCGCCCATTACTATTTCAATCTTTCAAAAGTGCCGACTGTAGTGTACAATTTTATTATTTTATGAATATAGATTAATTTACAATCCCAAAACAATGATTTGTAGTTTTTACTAAGATTAATATAAACCCAACAAATATTATTAGATTTTATTTAAACTTTTGAAACAGGTATTTGAACATATTATATTGTATTAAATTATTACTGATTTGGAAATAATTTTCAATTGTACAGTGGTGGACTGAAAAATGTTTACCAAATTTACATGTTCGTATTTTTAATCTTGATAAGAGCTTACAAAAAATAAGATTCATTACAACGATTTATCAAAACACGTTATTAAGGTTTAAAGTATGAATAAATTTTAATTGACATGGTTATAAGTTATATGGCATGTGCATCAAAAGTAACGAATATTAGGAAATTGTGACGGATTATTTTTGTATATTGGCTGTACTGCAAGAAACATAAGTGTTAACTATTAGGTAACTGCTTAGTTTGTGTTTATCTAGCGAAACAGCAAGTCTACATAAGAAAACTAAAAAAAGAATGCAACTCTAAAATTTAAACATAACAAACAAATTTATAACAACAACGATGTTGTCTTGTGTAATATAGAAATTTGTGTGCACAAAATTCATTTAAATAAAATATAAGTCAAAATGATTTTATAATTATTGTTGAATATTTGATTCATATTATATCCTTTTGGATTGTCAGTCTTTACAAAGCAATGAAGACAGATAACTAAAAGTTATTGTTTTATATACCTTATGATCAAAAAAGAACGAGAATTTAAAAAAAATGCAAAATATTATTTTTTAATCATTTTCTTTACTATCACCTTCAAAGTACTCTTCTCTTCTCTTCTTTTCCATACAAGTTTTATAGGCCGCCGAAGATACGACCGAATTCTCTTTTATGGCCTCTAGGTAACAAAACGCGTTCCTCGCAATGGCAATTTGAGTCGGGGCAAGAGGAAAAAGTCACATGTGGTCATATCTGGAGAGTACGATGCTTGGTTGATGATATTCGTGGAGTTTTTGGTCAAAAACTGCGACACAACCAACGCTGTGTGAGCCGGTGCGTTATCGTGGTGTAAAATCCATGAGCTTTCCTTCCATAAATCTGGCTTCTTTATGCGAATGGCCTCACGCAAACGACGCATAACTGCCAAATAATACTCCTTATTAACCGTTTGACCGTCCGGAAGGAATTCATAGTGCACTACACCACAAATATCGAAGAAAACAGTCAGCATAACATTAATTTTGGACCGACTTTGGCGTTCTCTTTTCGGTTTCGGCTCACCTTCGAAGCACCATTCGGTCGATTGTTGTTCATAGAAATTCATAGACTCATGTCTCATCACCAGTTATGATGCGTTCGATGAATGTGGGGTCAATGTGGAAATTCAGGTTTTTTGGCACCAGCCGAGAAGCGACGCGTTTCAAACCCAAAACTTCAGTTAAAATGTGTTCGGCCGATCCATCAACAACATCCAGCGATCCAGCCCAACAACACTGCAATTTCTCTAATCGGTTCACAACGATTTTCCAACACGATCTGCTTCGCCGATTCAATGTTTTCTTCAGTAACAGAAGTTGTTGGGCGGCCAGGGATCTCATCATGGTCCAAGCTTGTACGACCGTCTTTGAACCTTTTAAACCATTCGTATACTTGTGGTTGCGACACATATAAATCACCAAATGCCTTTTTTTAACATTTTTTTAACAGTTTCGGCACATTTGAATCCATTTGCAACACAAAATTTGATGCACGCAGGTTGTTCTAATTTTTGATCCATTATATGTTAAAAATCGCCACACGATAATTTTTCGACTTTTTGTATAGACGCCGAACAAAAATTAATCGTGTGATATGCGTTAAACTTTGACAGAATGTGTATAATAGTGTTGCCAGCGTGCAAATAAAAACAATTTACCGATTGGATAAGCGCGGGAATTCAAAAATTAAAATTCTCGTTCACAAGGTATAACTATAAGTACCCATGTATTATTTTTATAATGTAAAATAAATTTTATGTAACACTGACCACTTTATTAGCGTGTGATTTACGTGATTTACTTGAAGTTCGCTGTCGTAAGTTTAAACATTCAATAAAGTTTAAGTTTAATTAAATATTAAGCAGTTGCAGAGGGACTTATTTCTGCAAAGGTAGTTAATGAACTTCAAGCTTATAATATTTTATATTAAACCAACTTTTTATTTCCCGAACTTAAACCTTTTTTTGATATTAAATGGTTTAAATGATATAAATATTCAAGAATAATTATTTTAATGTATTTATATATATAATATATTTTTAAATTTCAAATATAATTTTTAAATTTTTTAGCACAGATTCGTTAAGAAGCACGAACTTATACCTATATGCATCGAATAGAAATATGAACATTTTTCAAGTTGTTTGCACCCTGTATGCACTAATAAAACGCATTGGTCTCTTTATCAATTAATTTTTTTGTTTTGATTTGGTATTTAAATGCTAACAACATCAAGTGCTCCGCGGAACACTTTAAATGCGCTTCAAATTAGCGCAATAATCGCAGCAAGGAGAGATATATATTTTACTGATTTTTGGGAGCGCAGTAACAACAGTGTTCAGGCTCTAGGTCGATTACTGAGAAGTTTGGACTATTTTAATGATCAATTTTAATTATTTGAACTCAAGTAAAGCTATGCTGCTCAACCAAAGTAGTGCACTAAGTTCACTAATGTAAAACCATTTAAAGTATCCAGGTTAAGAAATGGGATTCTCAAATCATCTTCATACCTTCCTTAAGAATTAATTACCAACCTAAGTTGAAACTTATACTTACACATAATAAAGTATTTATCATATAAAGTATAAAGTATTGTTTAAAAAAAAATAAATTTATATACTTAAAATTTTTCGATTTTATTTCTTTGTAATATTATTATCAGTGAATGCAAATTTTTAGGATTGACTGCGGATATCTAAAAATTGAAAATTATGTTTTTGTTTATTGTAAAATAGTTTTACTTCCTGCTCGTATTATAACATAATAAAATCAGTATATTTGTTTATTACATATAATTAAATAACTTATGCTATATGTCTTTTAATTCATAGCAGGCGAATACAAAAAAATTCTAATATGTGGTTGGAAAATACAAAATTTTAAATAATAAACTTTTATAGCAGCAATGAAAACTATAAGTTTATGTCAAGAAATCCGTGTCTGGTTAACTGCTTCAGATTTATAATAAAATCACACTTAAAGTCGTATATCAGAAATAATAATCGTAAAATCACATATAATAAACTCGTAAAATTTGCCAAATGCTCTCCATGCTTTGATGGTCACAAATAAACTTAACTTGTTGTGCGTTGTCCATGAGCAATATGGGGTCAATTCAACTGGGACCCATATAGACATTAAATTATTTAAAATATAATAACTATTTAAAAAATAATTAAGGAAGTCAATCAACAATTTTTTTAATACTTTTGTAATTTTTGCTACTGGTTCTAATAATAATAAATTTATATGTTTGACGATAGATAAAATGCAATTGAGTTTTTGTGGTACTGAATTAATTATGTTTCGTTAATCAATTTAATTGTTTAATTTTTTACTGCATTTTTAGTGAATATAAAATCAAGAGTGAGTAAATATTTAAACTTCATGTAACTAAGTAAAATATATTTATGTATAAACATTTTTACACACTGATGTCCATCTATCAATCTACTTACTGTCTGTCCGATAATATGTCCACAAGCTCAAGGGGATCGTGTCAATCGATTTAATATAATTTGTAATACCGATAAAATTTAAAATATTTTCATAAACCATAAATATGTAAGTATATAGAATTTTACGTAAAAGAAATGTGACAAGTAAAACAGTTTAAAAATATATAATTAGTTTAATATAGAAAAATCTATTGATCTCGTCATAAAAACGAAGTATCCTGTCAACAGAGCCATACTAAAGGATTTCATTATAAACGTATTATTTTCATATTTTTGGGATTTTTATATATGAGTTCCTTTAGGAATCGAAAATAAATGTCGTTTGTTCTATTAGCGTACACCCTAAAGTGCTGTATCGGATAATTTCGGAATAAAACACTTAGAAATTCGATACGTTTAGTTATCGGTAAATTAGGGACTTGGACACTGATTTACGTTAACTTACAGCTAAGCTGAAGCAATTTTGCGTGCAACGTAGCCGAAGGGTGATCTTACGGTTGACATATCTACTTTTAAACATAAGCAGTACATTTCCAAGCTATGTACATGTGACAATTGCATAGTTAATATCAAAACTCAAGATTTTATTGCCATTATTAAATTTGACTTTTACCCAACAGAATGGAAAACATATATGATTATACATCATAAATTAATTAATTCATAAATCATACAAAGATCACTACCACACATCTTCATACAGTTCAATATTCTTACTGCCATTCTTTCTAAATTATTTAAAAAAGGGTTGGTTTTGAAGCTGAAACCATTTCTTATAGGTCAAAATCTAATACCCTCCGACCAGTCTGGTTTTAAGGGAAAACATCCAACTGCTGAACAAATGAATTGTATAGCGAACAAAATAAGAGAGAAAAAAAATTTTGAGCTCAGAAAATACCGTTCCCTGGTATTTCTCGATGTAAAAAAATCATTTGACAAAGTATGGCATAATGGGCTCATGCACAAGATACGC